GCAACTTTCTTTATACATTTTGAATCGAGCACATACAAAGGAAAATACGGTATTTTATAACCTATCTTCCCTAATATTTAGCAGCTTTATATTTAACCCTTTTCCTCAGAGTGTATGGCTTTGTAGCCCTTCAATACACATGTAGCAAAGTTACCCAGTGCAGTGTGCTACACATAGGCCTGTTAAGCAGTGAAGTGTATGTTACGTTTAACAGCAATTTTAACCATTTTACGTTTTTGGTTTTTTACGTATATTACGTATGGAAAGATTTAAGAGTAAATTATGGTCATTATAGCTGTATAATTATTTTTCTTAAAATAATTTTGTATGTGCATTAAAATCTTGAGAGAACTCATTCACAATCAAGTCAGTGAAGCTGTGTGACCAACAATAGCTGCCTTTTCTCATACTCAAAATTTACAAGTTCTTTGTCTGCATCACTAAATCAGCTGAATTTGATAATTTAAAAAAACTAATGGCTTCATACATCAGTATCAGAGCCTTTACTTAAGTTATTGAAGCTTTCATAGTTGTGATTTTAATTGTGAAAACTCTAGCAAGTACCAAATTATATCTGCAACCGCCATTTTGGGAATACACAGTTACGAACTACTTACTTTAAATAGCAGATTTTGATCAGAGCATAAACAGTGACCATTTCATCTGACGTAATGGTCAGAAACACCAATGAATGTAGTATCTAATAGGGGGTTTTCCCTGAAGGTAGCGCTACAAAAAACCAGCTCAAAATGGCTGCTATTTACAGAGGAGCCAAAAAGCGCCTTTATGTGAATGCGGTAGAAGCGCCAAAAGGCATTTGCATGATGTATTCTTTATTTTCATTGCTAGGATTCCTAAGGCTAAACTTGAGTAAAATATGTCAGCACTAACTGGTTGAATGATTTCCACCAAACAAAATTGTCTTTTTTTTTTTTTTTTTTTTTTTTTTGAAATGGGTGTATTCAGTTTGCATTGTGAATCTCAGAGCTAGCATGCCCAAGACATTTGTAATCAAATCTATTGCCTGATAAACAGTAACAGACCCAGTGTGTTATCTCATTTATGGATGACAGTTTACTATGATTTTGTTTTATCCCATAGGGTCGAGTACTACACCCAGAACAACACAGAGTGGTCAGTGTCAGAGAGTGTGCTAGGTCCCAGGGATTTCCTGATACATATAGATTTTTTGGCAACATCCTAGACAGGCATAGACAGGTTAGAAACTCTCTCTCTCTCTCTCTCTCTCTCTCTCTCTCTCTCTCTCTCTCTCTCTCTCTCTCTCTCTCTCTCTCTCTCTCTCTCTCTCTCTCTCTCTCTCTCTCTCTCTCTCTCTCTCTCTCTCTCTCTCTCTCTCTCTCTCTCTTCATGCTCACTACTTTTATCACCAATGTATTTTACTTTGTATTTTATTGATGCAGAGAGATCATTATTTTAATCATCTGCAGATTCATTAAAAATAAAAACTATAAATCCAACCATGACCAAGAGAAATAACATTGAGGTCAAATCTGTTCAGTTGTTACTGCTTACATCATCATGCAACAGTAAGAACTAAATCCCAGACTCAATAAACATCAAAATTATTTCCTCAAATCAATCAGCATGCATCAGAAACTAACACAGAAATTATTAGGATTGCATCAGGAAACAACTTTCCAGATTGAAAAAAGGTTTCCTTGCCTTAAGTTTTAAAACAGAAAAGTTATTGTGTATCCTTTTCTCTATCTCTGCCTCAGACAACATAGAAATTCTCTGAAGTGTTAAATGTGATTGGAAGAAAAATTTGAGAATTTTAGTAAAACCAGAGCCAGATCAATAAAAGAAGCAAGATCAGATTGAATAGTGTCCCAACTTCTTAGGAAAATTATTCCAGTTCTAAAGAATATTGTATACATTCTTGAAATTATGGTGTCTGTGTAAGCAAATTTGTGGATGCCTACACCATAGTGCATGGAGTATATAGTGACGACAAGGTCTATCCAAGACATAAAGTCACAGTATGCATTTTATTTTTACTCAAAGAAGATTGATGGACTTTATGGATTAAAAGAAACATTATTTGACAAAGTTCTTACCCCAGTCTAAGACACATATTTGCCCCTGCATATTGAACTATGCTTTCTCATTTTCACTATGTTATGAGCATCGATTTGGTATGGACACATTTTTGGTTGCTTGAAAATTCTACTTATATAGGAATATATTATATGTTAATATATTACAGGTTGGTAATGCAGTTCCCCCGCCTATGTCAAAAGCCATTGGACTTGAAATTAAGAAATGTCTCATTGCCAAGGTCCAAAGAGAAAAGCTTCAGGGGACAAAGGTCGAACCAGAGTCAGCAATCAAAGATCAAAGGATCAGCAAAGAAGTGCATAAAACTGTGGAATCAGAATGCAGTTCTAGTTCTTCTCATTGAGAGAAATATTTTGGAAAAGAGTTCTAGAAAGGCAGTCTTTGATCTTTAAATAAATCACCAGAATTTTAACATGGACTTTATGGAAATATTCATAAAATTTCATTAGAGTACTTAAATTGCCAGTCGTTACCAGTAAAAAGATGTTTACATCCTGTACAATGTTTTGTTAAGACCCATATAACTCCATATAATAATTTTTTCTAAAGTGTATAATTTATAGCCTATCAGTGTAAAATTTATTGACATAATGATGAAATATGCATGATAGCAATTTTTAATTATAGTATTGTACGGGCGTATTTATCACTTTAGGAAATGGAGTTATTTTGGGCATAGAATATATGTGTAATTTAAATGGTTTCATGTTTTTAAAAAAACGATCAAGAACAGAGATGCTGCCATGGCTCATAAGTGTATAAATAATGCCAAACGTGCACACTTAATGCAGTGATGCATGAGAGTTTAATGATGTAGTTTAAAGTTGATGATATAAAAATGCACTCTGTGCAGTGCAATAAAATTCATATTAACTGTTACTAAATAAATAGGATTCTAAACAAGATTATATTCAATGGTTTGGTTCTGATTATTTTCAACTCAATTTGTTGCTGGTATTTGAAGCCAAGTTTCGGAAATCTTGATTGTTACTTTACATATGGCTATACCCAAATACCAAGATGGGAGGTATGTTTTGTAATAGTTACAGAAGCTTTTTGAAATAATCCATCTACTGTGCTTGAATTTGAAGATGTTAAATTTTAAATCAATGCACTAGAAAAATATTCTACAAAACTAACATAGAAAACAGTTTCCCAACTTCTTCAAGCTGGCTAAACTATCTATGTAGATGCCCCTTCAGATGGCAGATTGTGAAAGGGGATTCTCATCACAGATAACTATTCAGGAACGGATTAAGCTCTAACACAATTCACAGATTAATGCTTATACAGATACTTGGGTAATCTTGCGATGATTTTGATTTGAACAAAGACCAAACATTTGAGTGGGAAAAGAGAGAGTTAGATATTTAAGTATTTGGTAAATATTTAGCATTGCAATTTCTTCTCTCTCTCTCTATGTCTCTCCAAACCATTTTCATTTTTACCATGTCTCCCCTTGCCTTGTTTGCTGACAAGAGGGAGAATTCTTCATGGCTCTTGCATTTAAACATACATGGTGCTAAGTGAAAGCAGTTTTTAACAATATATGCCAGGGCACTGATATAGAGTTCATATTAAAATTACAAGAATATTCTAAATTGCATCAATGGGTGAGTACCCCATGTTAAAACTGCCTTACTCGGGGTCCCATGTATGTTTTACTGGAACAGTCCTCAAAGAAAATGATGGCAGCATCTCTGCAAAAAAATTTTTTTTTTTAAAAAAATGATGTGTAATATATTTTCATTATAAAACATTTTTATCTTTGTATTTATTGTGACTTTTTTCATGTTTTCCATTTAAATCAAATGAAATTTAAATCAAATGAATTTTAGATGTCATGTAGAAAATACATGTATATTAATGTTCATCATTTTCTTCATTACTAAATGTCATTTTCAATGAAATGTAATATGACAGCAGTATCTGACCTATCACTTCATTTTTTAAAAAAATGTTTTACATTGCCAGATATGTATAGCTAATGAACATTTTGATACTTTTAAAAACATTAATGTTGTAATTTATTGCTTGCAACTTGATCTTGCATTTCTGTCATTGTTTGTTAAATCAGGCATATATATATATATAAATACATGTTTATGAAACCAACCTGTCATGTTATATTTCTCTTATGTTTCAAATTTGTATTGTTTAAAATGTCAGTACTCGGTCCCTTCCCAAGGATATTATTACTAATTGAGACAATTATTCTTTGTGCATTATTTATATTCATGATGTATGTATGATATAAAATACTATTGCAGCTGTAATTTTTAAGTTACTTCATTGACTTCTTACAATGAACAACATCCACCTTGTTTAGCATTAGTACAATAAATTCTTTTATACTTTTTGAACTGTCTGGTTTGTTCTTCTCCTTAGAGAAATGTGCCAGAAGGTCACATCAGGAAAAAATTGTGCTTGGAATTTAGTTTTGGTTGTCATGTTCCAGTGATAGAAATGTAGGTGCAGTTAATGTAAATTATTATTTACCTACAAGGAAAATATTGTGTTCAGATTTCTTGTTGAAAGTATTAAGATTTTGCATAAGGTTCTATTCTACTTATAGAATAAACCTATCTTGGGCTACCTTGACTGTCACCTAACTACTTATCTGTGTATCTGCCTATCTCTATGTAGGCTTATCTGTCAATCTATATGCATGTCAATCTGTCTGATTATCTATCAATCTGTTTCTCAGTCAGATTAAATTTGCAGTTTACATGCACTCAATTTTTTGTCAAAAACATTGTTTATATACATGGTGCAAAAAAGTACCAGGACTATATTTCTTGATTATCCCATCTTAGAATGGAAATCCTGAGAGGTGGAGATTTAGATTTAATTGATTAAGAATGGTTAGTACAAATTGTATTTTTTTATCCTTTGCTCCTAATAAGTGAGTGTATTTTCTTGACCTCTCCGGTGGCCTAGTGGTTATAGCGTCTTCCTTGGATGCGGGAGATCGTGGGTTTGATCCCCAACTGAGTCGTACCAAATATTTATAAAAATGGTACTAACAGCTGCCTCATTTGGCACTCAGCATTAAGAGGATGTTGTTAGGACTGGTTGGCCTTGTGTCCAGATAATGTGACTTAGTGGGATGCCCCAGTGCTAGACATCACTATAAACTACCACACTACAGACATCATAGCGATATGACTGAAATTTTTTAAACCTACATTAAAAAATCAAAATCACAAATATTTCTGGTTCTCACAAGTTGTTTGCCCTTTCTCACCCAGGCATAGATCTTGCCATTTGCAACACCATCTTCCTATTTTGCTTCAGTATTTGTAGCCTACTGCTAATGACAAAACTGATAAAGACAGGGTTCCTGCAAGTCATGGAATTCTGGAAAAGTTTTGGAATTTAAAAAATAAATTTCAAGGGCCTTGAAAAGTTATGGAATTTATCAAAACCTTGCAAAGTTTTGGAAAAGTCATTGAATTTGTGACAGTGGAGTTAAAGAAATTGCTTTCTTCAAATTTCATAGAGCAACAAGAACCGAATAAATAAAATTATAAAATTACAATCAATAAATGGTTTCAATTCACACAACAAGAGTAAGTTCCCCTAATGGAAGTATCACATGATTTCTGGTGTAGTTCACTAAGTAAAAGAAAGCAAATGGAAAGTAATGTTTTGTTAATATTTTAAATAGGAACACATGCAAAGACTACATAGAATTGTTTCCTTTTTTCTTTTGAATACAAATTACATTGATCATTGGATTATGACACAAATTACTACATTAAAGTCAAAGTGTGCTAGCCCAGGTAAATTTAAAATGTACATATTAAAAATATTTGTTGTTAACTTACTTGTTATTTTAGATTAAAAGATGTCATTTTTTATATTCATTTACTTGACAATGCAAGAGAGCGCGGTCCTCGAGTTTTATGAAATGGCCCTGGAAAAGTTTTGGAAAAGTCATGGAATTTGTTTTTGCTAAGTCTGCAGGAACCCTGTAAAGAGGTGAAAAGAATTATTACAGAGGAGAAAGAAGAAACAAGGAAATGTGGGAGAGACATGATTGAGGGAAAACCGAGGACAACAAGTCTTATAATATTTATTATTTCAATAATATCTGCTTCAATCTGAAGATTTTTATACTCCAATAATTTACTCCAATTGATCTTAAAAATGTATTCAATCAAAATTTATAATAACAAAACAGACTATACAATGTCTTTGTCATAACTTTCTTTTTTTACAACTATAAGTAAACCCAACAATTTTCTCATTCATAAACTCGAGAGCGTGGTTAAATGAATTCCAATCAATAAAATATTTATATCCACAATGCATTCCAGTCATATTCTTTGCTTCGTCTATCCACTTGTGATATTGACAAAAGAAATTTTGCAAGTTTGGTACTGAAAATGCAAGCCCAACAGTCCATATACCCTGTCAAGATTTTATTTTATAACCATGATGCAATACCCAACCTTAATATTATTTTTAAAATTTAGCATGTACTCAGCTCAAAATTTTAGTATACCACAACCAATAAATGATATGGCAATATAAACAGTCAAATTAACTTGCATATTCTGTAACTAAAATTAATGGCAAAATGTCTGTTCATTTTTCAGAAGAATGCTAGTACTATCTGAATTTTTAAAAATCAATTCAAGTACAGTAAAGTGGGAAGTGAAGTAGATTCTATCATTGTTATCCCAAATTAAATTGATTTTCATAATTGTGCTACTGTTGCATGACAAAACACTTTATTCCTATAATTTTCAATTTGAGGCAGTATGAGAAATTTTGACTTAATTAAATTCGAATGAGGCAATATGTAAAATTAGATATTTTATTCATTTACATCCCACACCGCCCTCCAGTTCTAAAACTGATAATGTACAGTAGTCCCCCTCTTATATGGCCACCCCTTCTGCACCGGGAAAGTGGCCTTATAAGGCGGGTGGCCTTTCCAGAGGGGGACTAAATTTTTTGTGAGAAGTATATGTACGTAGTAAGAAAGTTTCATTTTTCAAAGCATTAAATATCTTCCTTTAAAAGCAACATTAAATGATGCTTGTGCTATAATAGTTGACTTATTTCAACTGAGTATGCATTAATAGTTCTTATTCTTGGCAAAAGCGCGATATGCGAGCGGGTGTTGTCATGCACATAGCAGAACCATACAAAAACGTCATTTGAATCTTGGTTGTTGTTGGGCTTAACGCCATTTCTCAGCACACGATAGGCTATTCATGGCGGCCAGTATTAATGGTGGACGAAGAAACCGGGAAATCACCGGAAAGAACCAACGACCCACGAGAAGCAACTGGCAAGCTTTCTCACATATCTACATTAGCCGAATCCTAGACTCGAACACACGCAGACAGAGGTGAGATGGCAGTGATCCGTAACGGACAGCGCATTAGACCACTCGGCCACTCGGGGCCCCTTTGAATCTTGGTACATACGCAATTATCTACCCATTTCCTCCATTTTCCCACTGCTGCTAAATAACTTATCGGTTACGATGTTATTTATTCGAGTCTTTTCAACATAAAATTGTTTTATTCGAGTCTTTTCTACCTAAATTTGTTTGACCAGTCCCCCTCCCCACCTCACCCGATATCGTAGACTATATATAATAACCGACGTTTTCTGAAGAAAAAAAATCATCTTCGTTTACGTGATGACATGTTAATGTTTGGTAATGAGTTATTCCGATGTTGCTAACTGTATGCGATTTAATTATGCAGACGACACATTTGTTGAGCGGACGACATGCTTTCTTCGTAAAGAAGCGAAAAGTTTTGTTGTCACGTGATTTTTCGGTCTTTGTCTAGTACACTGTTTCTATATTTAGCCAATGCTGACCGTGTGATCTTGACCTTACATCCAGTTAAAATCATCAATGTTGCAACTACCAGACGGATGAAGCAATTTTTTTCTGCATTTAAACAAGATGCCGTATATTTTTAAAGGCAGCAGTAAGCACAGTAAGCAGTAATTACAGTTTATATCCATTATTCTAAATATGGTTCGGCCAGAGTAAGCAGTAATGACATGGTTTATCCATAGTCCAGATAGAGTTCTGACTCGATAAGCAGTAATTACAGTATATGGTCTAGATTGAGCTCGGCCAGAGTAAGCAGTAATTACATGGTTTATCCATAGTCCAGATAGAGTTCCGACACGATAAGCAGTAAGTACAGTATATGGTTTAGATTGAATTCTGCCAGAGTAAGCAGAAATTACATTGTTTATCCGTAGTCTAGAGTTTTGACTCGATAATCAGTAATTACAGTATATGGTCTAGATTGAGTTCGGCCAGAGTAAGCAGTAATTACATGGTTTATCCATAGTCCAGATAGAGTTCTGACTCGATAAGCAGTAATTACAGTATATGGTCTAAATTGAGTTCTGCCAGAGTAAGCAGAAATTACATTATTTATCCATAGTCTAGACAGAGTTATGACTCAGTGAGCAGTAATTAAAATGTATATTCATCGTCTAGATACGGTTCTAATGTAAAGAGTCCATTCCTCAATGATTTGGATTATGACACTCTTGTAATGAAATTAAACATAAAATAAAAATCTCGATAATGTATTTAAAGTGGCGTGTACGTTCTACTTGTTTAAAATCTCTAATGTCATTTTGTCAAAAATATATGTACACAAAAGTACCATCCTTTGGCAAGGACACATACGAGCATTATCATCGTCTTTCAGGGTTTTGCAAGATGCATTCACTTTATACGATCCATTTGTGAAGTTTGCTCTATTAAATGTTGTTCACTGCATTTTCCCCCTATACTTATCGACAATTTCAACGAAATCGAAATCAAAATTCCGTTAGGGGAGCTGGCCCAGTTTTCTTTAATGGTGGAAGGGAATATTTTGCCCCTTCCTCATTTTTCGACAAAATTTCCTTCATTTCACTCCTTTCATTGCCGTAGTCGTTTGACGTTACCGTTGCTTCCAATTTCTCTTCTTTTGCTGTTTTCTTCCTTCTATTTTTATTGTCTCTGTTTTCTTTGTCACTGTCAGACGTTGATTTACCCGCCATATCTAATTTTTCAACCTTTATTTTTCTTCGTCGTACAGTATCGTTTAAATCACTTATTTTTCTAAAAGCATCTTTCTTTTCGTTCATTTTTTCAGAAAGTTCTCTCTTCTCACTTATCCTCGATGATAGTTCCAGCAAGGAATCTTTAACATCTTTATATTCTTTCGAAGATGGTGTTTCAGAGACTACTTTAATCGGCGGAAGAGTCTGTGGGCGTTTGCTCTCATCGGTTTCTGAATCAGTTGGCTGTCTTCTCTTAGGCACAGCACTGTGTACGATGTTTTCTTCGTATTTTTCGTCTTTCTTTTGTTCATGACGTCGATATCTTCGTGCCTTCGTGAAAAGGCGAACTGTCGTCTCACCCCCGTTAGGGTCTGTGTCATTCTCCTTTCTTTCCCGCGTTCGCTTTGTGACGAACTCTGCACGATTTTCAGATGCCTTAATATCACCGGTATAGAAACCATCAATCGCAGGCAAAATTGATGGTAGCTTATCTCGCCTTTGGCTCGGAAGTCGGGATTGAATAAGTGGGGTTTTAAAATAGTCAGTTATCTTTTCCTTTATTGTCTTCTTGTCAAGAATAGCTCCTTTTTCCAATCCCTCATCAAACAACTCCTGAATTTTCTGTTTCCGACGCACGCGCGGATGGTTCTCCTCCAAATAGACGTCGATCTGTCCGGTGAAAGTCTCTACCGGGATACCTCTATATTTTCCATAGAGTTTGGTGGCATTTGTTTTCTCTAGATCTTCGACCTTCTGTTTCATGCATTTCTTCAATACTCTCTGCCTTACTATGGTCTTCCTTGTGTCCACTATCGACTTATCCATACGTACTCTCGTTTCATCTTTCTCCTTGTCCAAGTATCCATCTAGTTGATCCTGCTGAGATTTCACCACGTCGTTCATGACGCACACAAATTTTCTATGTTTAATCTCTTGCGTGTAAATTTCTCTAAG